TCAGAAACTTTGTGTATAACTAACCTGTGATACTGTTTTTTTTTTTTTCTTTTTTCTGTATTTACTAAAGTAAGAACCGGTTTCGTATACAGTACTCTCAGAAATCCCTATGGTACATTTTGAACATGAAAGAAATTATCTTTATTTAAATTGTCCAAGCATTACAGTTTGTATCTCACTACACCCAAGCCCAACTGCTACGCTTAGATAAAACTCCTTTGGCTTCAAGCACATCTCCCCCTGCAGATTTTTAATTTACCTCTCCTAGTTTTTGTTCAGAATAAAACCTAAAGGCAGTTTACCAGACAGGCTAAATCTCTTTTAGTTGAAAATTGTATTACTAAGTATTTATTTGTTATGGAGTTTAGGGTAAGAACTCTCTTTTGGATGTCTTACTATAAAGATTGTGAGCAGACAAGCAATTACTCTGGGTCTCCAAAGTTTGTTTGTTCTAAATTGAAATAACCCATTTCATACATCACATTTGCTAATTTTTGTCTGTGTCAACTCTCTGTAGATTGAAGAAAGGCGAACCCTGACTGGAGGCTCCAACGACACAAGCTGCGTGTTTCTGGTCAACCGGCCTTACGCCCTGATCTGCTCCGCCGTGGCCTTCTACGTCCCATTAGCGCTCATGGTCCTGGCGTACCAGCGTATTTACGTCACGGCCATGACTCACGTAAGACAGATTGAGACACTTCAACGGGCTGGCTCTGCTCCTGTCACTGGGACAGATCCAGTTGTCTCTGTGAGATTCTCCACATCCTCAGACCCATTGGAGCATTACCGCCTCAGGACGACAGCGGGCTCCTCATCATCAGAACACCATCCTGTAGCAAACAGTCGAATGCGCATGGAGACTAAGGCAGCAAAAACACTGGCTGTAATTATGGGCTGTTTCTGCCTTTGCTGGGCACCATTTTTCATCACAAATGTAGTGGACCCCTTCATTCACTACTCAGTACCGTGGCAGCTGTGGACAGCCTGGTTGTGGCTTGGGTATATTAACTCAGGATTGAACCCCTTCCTGTATGCCTTCCTGAACCGGGCATTTCGAAGGGCCTTTCTGGTGATTCTCTGCTGCGGAGATGAAAGATATGCTCGGCACGGGAGCTATTCACATGGATACACCCACAGAGTGTGCTCAGCTCCATCTGTCAACGGGACCTCCATGGCACTAAGGTAAACACACTGCCACATTGATCACTTTGGCTATGAAAATAAAGCCAAAGTGCCAAAAAAGACATTGGTCATGATTCTAAGAAAGTTGACTCAGGTTCTCTGGATGGGTTATTCTTTTTTTAAAAAAAAACAACATTTTGTCTTTTATCTAAAAGATTTCTTCAGTCTGATGGGTTGCAAGCAAAGCTAGCATACTCCATCTGAAAATGAACAGTAAACTCACGATCATATGGTTGCGGGATGTTCATTTTCACATTTTTTTCATAGTCCACAAGACAGAGGTGCAGAGCTCCTGGGAAACTCTCCCACTGCAGTATACATCACCACACAGGTTTCTTCCCTCTAGAATCTCTACTCCATCCATGCATCCACTATTTGGCCACAAAAGTATCATAAAGAAATCAACACACCTTTCAGCAGACACACTTCTCCTTACACAATGTCTGGACAATCTCCATCCAGGTGTTTTGGGCCATTTGACTAATTTAGTGTGTTTGAAGAGTTGTACAGTTGACTGTTCGAGCACATTTCCGCATTGATGAACATGCCAACAAACTTTGATCAATCACACAATCTGTGACACATATACCCATGAGAAAAAGTTAGGCTCAGGCCTTGTGTCGAGAAGTGGTGGGCGTAGCTACTTTGAGAACGAAATGACATCATTTTCCTCACGCAACAATGTCAATGAGAGCTGATTTTGCTACTTCGGATGGAGTATGCAGGGCCCTTTAGTCTTATAAGCAGCACCTTCACATAGTGGATCAACCAGTTTGCTGGTGACAGCCAAAACGTTGTTTTCATGCAAAAGGGCGACCATCAGCCTATCGACTGTTCATTAGTACTCTGAAGGCAGTTTGCTATTCTCAGAAGGCTGAGTGATGCAATAACAGCATTGTAAGTGTGACAGTTGTACATGGAGACCTCCCCCCGTTTAATGTTGGGTTCTCTTCACTAATGCGGCTTTGCCATTGATAAGTGTGATTCCACTCGACTGTCCTCTTATCGGTTCTACTCAGGTGTAGAGGTGATTTGCCGCTACAGTGGAGGCTGACCTGTTTCCCCTCTCTGTGTGCAGGATAGTAACTGTTGTTTTTATGTTCGAGCCACTCCTCCCATTGTGATCCATAATTGCCCTATGATCGGACTTCATGTTCATTAGTTTATCCTGGCACTGCTTATAAGTCCAGGTGTAGCCATTATCTCTGATATCTATCAGTAAATGCGCTCATTTCTTGTGGTGCCATCCATCAACATGATGAGGAAGTGGTGGTTCAGATTAAATTTTGCAGTTTTGCTAGACGGATCATTCAGTGACATATCTTCACAGGCCAATCAATGGCTTCTGTTACCTGGATTATTGAGCATACTTCAGGCCTTGGTCATTCTTTTTAATCAGTGGCCTAAAGACAAACACCACTGCACCTTTATTGTATTTTGAAGTACGTACAGTGACTATATGTATAAGGGGTAAGTTGGTTGAAACATCTGCTTTTAACTGTCTTTCTGTCTTCTGTTAGTAAGAATCGAGTTTGATCGATTAAAAAAAGCATTGCATTTATGCAATGAATACGTGGAAGCCTAACAATTGTTGGTTTAGTGTCATTACATGTCCATGCTCATGCCAGTTGTGTCCCATATTGCTTGTTAAACATCAGGTAGCACTGATGACCACAGCTTGTATAAAGTAGATTTGGTCATTTCTATTTTTATACAGCTGCAGGAACAAGATAAAAACATAAACTGTTGTGTTAAAAAAAAATAGTAAATGTAATAATTTATGAGAAACAAAAAATGATTTAATATAAAGCAGCATACCAGCTTTGACCCATTAAATTGTGCACAGGAGCAGGATTCTGTAAACTACGCACTATAATTTTCAATGTGGAAGTAGAGATGGTCATTCATGCTTTTATTTAATCCTGCATTGATTAATGCAGTTTTGTTTTGCATCAGTAAATCTTCCATGGATCATACAGCTTGTCCAAAATGCAGCTGCTAAGCTCCTGATTAGGTCCTCCATGCTCACCCATTACACGTTTGCTGATCTTTCTGCATTGGCTTTATTTTCAGTAGAGAACTAAGTTCAAGATCAAGATCAAACCTTTCAATCTCACACGACTGTCAACAAGGATGAGGGCCGGCAATGGAGGAAGGGGCATGCCAAAGACACCATCTTAGCACCAACATAACTAGTTTGTTCCACTTTGGAGTAAGCTATTGGGGGAAGAATCAGTTCTGTGTTGTGTGTTTCCTTGACTGATGAAGCCTTCCGGATCGAAGGTGAAAAGTTTCAGCACAAAAAAAGAAACTGTCCAGATGACCAGACTGAAAAATGTTGAATTAAGTTCAAGGTTCTGGTCTGGACTTTTAAGGTTCTGCATGGTGACACACCTTTAAGCATTTTTCAAACTTTTACAGCCATAAGTCACCACACTAGCCCTGAGGTTGACTGATCAAGGAATTTTATCTGACACTAAATCAAGGCTAAAATTGACAGAGTCTTTGCAGTCATTGAACCAATGCTCTGGCACTCTTTGCCTTTCCATCTACCGGTACATACTGTGGACTCAATGCATTTAATTAAAAACAGCTCATCATTTTAGACTGGCCTTTGGGTAGCATTCTATTTCATTTGCTTAAATCTCTTGTATTTTAGCTTATTTTTTTACTTTTATTCCAAGGTCAAGGGTGTCTTTATTGTCATTCATATCGCATGTGGTACATGTGGTGGAACAAAATTGTGTACACAGGGTCCCAGTTACTTCCAACAAAAGTATAAATTGTAAAAGAAAAATTATTATTTTTTTATTATTATTATTATTTTTAGTTTATATTGATTTATTTTATATTTTTGTTGCAATAATGTGACATACTTTGTGTGTGTGTTTTTTTAAGGTGCTTTATTAATAAAACATATACAGTAGTCCCTCATTTATCGCGGGGGATCCGTACTCTACATATATATACACTGTATATATACTGTGTGTGTATATATATATATATATATATAAAGGTGTTTTAAACACTTCCCACACTCGTGCAATATTCTAAACAATGTTTCTAATCTCTAAACACTCTAAAAAAAAAAGCACAGAATGTTATGATTTCAGCTCCCTGCCTCCTCTGCTCTTTGCCACCTGCAAGCACTCTTGGCCACGCCCACTTCACCCCTCTGCATGGTGAACAGCTGATCAGCTGCGGCAGGAAGTTTATCCTGCAGTATGGGCTGCACAAAGGTGCAGCAGGTGCTAAATAATTTTAAATATATATATATTTTAAATAAAAATCCCATGCCGATCGTGCGGCTTATCCATCAGTCAGCCAATTGTGCAAAAGTCCAATCTTATTTTGAAAAACTGCGATAGAGGGAGTCCGCGATAAACGAACCGCGAAGTAGCAAGGGACTACTGTATACATTTTTCTTCAACCTGAAGCATTCGGCTCATGAAAGGACATTGAACCAAAGCATCTCGGATGGCTCTGCATCGTTACATTTTTGGAGGTTGCACCCAAGTCTTTCTGCATTCGTTGACTATCCACATTTCTTTTCACTGCAGCAGAGAAGATTGATGCAAACACCTCGTTGCAACCTGGACCCAAGCTTAACTCAGCATTCCAGGAATAAAAGGCAATCTGTTGTTTACGTGTGTTCACTCCTGTTGTTCTGGGTCTTTTTGATGCATCTGCCAAGATGAACATCAGTCATTTTAAGAGTTTCTTTTTTTATACTTTATTTACTTTAAACATTTTGTTCTTTACACTTTCTTCAAACTTTATTCTAGTCATATTGTTCCTGGTACCGTAAAGCAATTTTGGGGGGATTTCACCAGCTTAAGGTCTAAAAATGATTAGAATTATTGAAAGTGTGGTGTCAAAAGGAGTCAGAAACCCAGAGTGGCAAAGTTTACACATTTCTAGTTCTGCTTTAACTGATGTCACGAGTAGAGTACAGTAGTCATTGTTTGTACAGCAGGGCTTTTGTTAACGTTGGTGATTTAGTTGAAGGTTGTGTTTGAGCTCAGCTCCTGTGAGTTGGGAGGATGATGAAGGAGGTGGCCTCCTTCTGTCTTCACTGTTTAACTTTATTGGAAGTACAGTACTTCACTGCTGAGGAGAAACCAAGGCATGCACAAATTTGCTTATACAGTACGTACAAACGCGTAGTCACACACAGATGACAAATTTATGCAAAATGTGCACAGAAATGACTTTCATGTTGCCGTCATCATTCAGCCACTTTTAGTGTTTTTCTACCTTGGCTTTGCGTCAGTATTAGTACTTTTACCGTGTTCATCGTGATGCCGGCTCAAGTGTTTCCATTGCGTTTGTGCACATTTTTGGGGCTTTCTGTCTGTGTGTAGGAAACAGAAAGGCAAACAGTGTTAACTCCAATCTGATGTCCTCTCTTAAAACCTGTCTTTGACAGAAAACAGACTCAATCAGATTACAGCCGGCAGGATACTGGAAACTCAAATTACTGGAGGAATCCTGTCTTATTATTTTGTCAGGAAGCACAGGCCTGCAGGCAGACTTTGTGTGTGGAGACTCTTGTTCCTTTCTTTTGCTGGTGTACTTGTTGAAGCTACATATAAGTATTCTCTGTGCTGGCATGGGTTGACATGTCGAAGCTGGATTCAGTATAATTCAAAATTATTTTAATTTTATCATCGTTGCAGTATTCTCTTTGTAAAATGGATTATTTTGTGATTTTCTAATTTTCAGGTCTGGCTTTTTTTTTTTTTTTTTTTTGCTGCTGCTACATTGGAAGGTGATGTAACACCTAAATTAAACAAACCACATTTTATTACTCCAAATAGTTTGACTGGTCTGAAAAAAGGAATTTCAGATCCATTGAAGTTTCCTGCAAAGTCAGCAGGTGAATCTTGGAAATAAAGTAAAACAAACAAAAAAAAAAAAAAAGGAAGAAGAAACAAGGATGGCAGTAAAAGATAAGAGAAAAAGTAATAGAAGCATGAGAAAAGTGAAAGAAAGAGAAAAGGT